ACTTGATATAATGATGAGAAGGTGCTCTTCTACTCGCAATAGGAGAGGAGCCGGAGAAAACGGAATCAGCAAACTTGAAAGCGTGAGAAAGGTAGAAAAAATGAACGAAAGACTCATGCAGAAACGAAAGCCCACATTTTTCAGGAGCATACGACTAAACAAAACTGTCTGTTTATAACGATGATTAATGACTTAACGTGCACAACATTCAAACTGTTGGATATGCTGCTTCAGACAACTGAAACTTTACTGCGAACACTTTACTACGAAAGGTCAAGTGACACAAACCAGCGTTGGCTCGATCGTTACCGCCAGCTCCTTCTTGATGCACAGAAATTGCCGGACAGAAAAGCTGAGCAGCTACAGCTCCGTGTTTTGAAATGTGAATTCATACGACGCCATTTTCTTCGTATTATGATATTTCAACAACAACCATGTCAAAGATGTTCGCTGGAATCAAAAGGCTATGAAAATTATGGTGTTTTCAGTACACCGTTTGGTAGCTAAATGAGTTAAACATATGGATAAGAAAGTGATCATATCGCCGTAGTCATCGATACACGAATAAGTAACATTGGCAGACGGAAGAAAGAGAAAGAAAGCTTTTTGAGGATCAGAGCGGAATCACAGGGCATTAACGACCACAGTGTTGATCAGGCAAAGATATTCCGGACGCCAAGCAGCTGACTGACTTGAGGGAGAGACGCAAGAGCAGAGTTGTTTTAGACAGCTGTTTCGAGGCTGTGCAAGCACAGGTGGAGAGCACATGTCGCAGTGGCGGCGGCACTCGACAGCGAAAATGACGAGGACGTTGACGACGGAGGCAACAGGCGGCAGTCGCAACGAAAATTGTTTCAAAAGACAGACGAAGACAGAAAGGGGGAGGGGAGGATGGAGGGACGGGACGACGCTACGATGGGAAGTGGCGACAGGGAGGAACTAAAACCGCGCCCACCACAAGCAGTTGACGAAGAAGGGAGGGGCAGTTGCGCTGCGGGTCACTACGACTGCTGTAGTAGCCATTGCATTGTTTCTGAAAGACAGGGACTAAGGAATTACGGGACAACAGCTAGCTAATGCGTTCACGATCCGCTTATACTGGTCGGTGCCGTAGCGTCAATACGCGAAACAGACAGCAACTCAAGCGCCACTTGTGCCCCTCCTTCATGCGACCACAATATAGCTGTGGAGGTTTGTGTAGTCCGATCCAGCTCCGGTCCGATCCCGCCGATCGAGGCAACAATCGACCTCAAGTGTCGTCTCGACCCAGAGAGTCGCATGGCACTGCACGTGTACACATGGGGTCGGTAAACGGGTCATTCGTCGGTCGGTCATCTGGGCTGGTTCACATTTGACCACTACGCGCTCGAACTAAATTCACCCCTCGGTCCGCCGGTTGCTCGTTCGCCATTCGTCTTAATTACTTTACACGTCGTCGCGCAAAGCAAAGCATTACATGCACTGACGAGGATGCAAAATGCAGTCAGTCATCAGCCTCCATCCGGTACGAAAACGAGTCCAACAGGATCAACAAACAAACACAACTGCAGTCGGCGTGAAGCCGCGTTAATTCGCCAAAATCTACACCCACAAGCAACAGGTAAAATTATTCTGTCCGGCAACAATCAAGACGACAAGCCAAACCGGTTGTCCGTTAGAGTAGGACAACAACGACAAAGACGACGTCGTCCAACAAACGACTCGAAAATCCGGCTTTGGCGCCGCCAGCAAACGGTTGTCGTCGTCGAAGAAGAAGCGACGATGATAATCAACTCTAGATACTTCACAGGTAAACTATACTCAAGAGCCAATCGCATGCAGTCCACTCCTCTTACTCACATACACACAAAACGCTGCACACTTCCTCCATCTGTCACTATGACGCAGTCTTACCGTTTCCTCAGACCGCCTACTTACATTACTCAGGCGATGAGATGAAATTCCAACTAAATTGTACTGAGACATTATAGTATCTAAGGGTCTAAATTATTTTACAGTCTGAAATGAAGAACTATTTTGTTGGTGAAAAGGGGTTACGAAATTCATAACATTTTTGCCTTAATGGGGTCTTATGTTCTAAGCAGTCCAATTTCGCGAGAACACCATAAACACCATCTTGTTACCGTCAACTGGAATAACGTTAAGTTCTTATTAAGCCAGTCAGAACACAACGTAATATGTGGTGAAAGAGATGATACGTGATAATATCATCTCCTCTAAAAAACTGCAATCCAACTCAACAAACAAACGTCTCAGATAAGATTTACACTTAATGTGATATCGATCAGCCTTTCACCATAATGACTGACGAAATATGGGACATTTTTTCACTGATATTAAAATGTGCCGTTTCTTATGACAACATTGACTAGCCGGGAAACCAGCAGACTACGTGCATGGATAGGGCATTAATATATTGGACAGTAATAGTTGAACTTCCAGCCCGAGTAAAGCTAATAATTGTTCTACCTCGAAAGATGATGAAAGGAGAGTGACAAGGCGATTAGTAAAACTTTCAGCACGGCCACCACAATTTGACAGTTATGTATAATACAGATACCTATCTCGCCTTATTATCAGTGCAAATACATTCAGAGTGCATAAGATCAGACTGCTGCAACTGAACTTCTTGTCATCAATGTCATTTGCGTAACCTTTAAATAGCTTTTGGCAAAGCAAATCGCTAACTTATGATAAAATATTTCACGAGCAACGTAAGGAAAGGTGCAGATTTAAATTGTTTATGTATGCAGTAACTACACAGGAATAACGGGCATAAGCAATAATTATCCTACTTAAGTTCAATTTATCGCAAACGGCAGGGACAATGGCCAGTTTCTGGTTCAATCCTGATGAAAATGGAGATCGTAAAACGAAGATTTGTCCACACGACAAAACTGACAACTACATGGAAAGCGATAACAAACGACACCAGCAAACAGAAACTTGCCGCATCTTTGGTCTGGCCTCTGAGAAGAGCGAAATCTGTAAAAGCAGGGAGTCAAATCAACTGAATCTGTGGAAAGATTCGAATCTTACTATTCCCTTAAAAGCATCTAAACTGGTCTTAAATTAAACGGGCACTCAACGATTGCAGTGGCAAATATTTATTTATCTTATAAGAATGAAAGTTAATCGCCCGGAATAGGTTCGAATTTACAGCCTACCTGAGATACCCAATCAACAATCAAGCAAAAGTGTCATAAATGAGGCTCTTAACGAATGTGGAATGGAGACGAGAATCATTTTCACTACTTTTCAATCCCGCAGGCAAGCGTAACACTGAAGACACTGCAAAGCGACAATAAGTCATACGCTGTTGATAACCTTATGAATATTTCTATTGGAGACAAAAAGCAAGTATTACGAGCACAGTTGTCACAACGGAGACCAGGACGTAAATGATAAAAAAGATACGGCAAAAACTGCTGGACAACTAAGTGGGTAAAGGGACCCTACTCGCACACAGGCGCAAACTAGGCCCTTACACTTCATGGTTGCATTCGAAGCGCGCTAACTAACTTAAAAGCTTATTAGCCTTGCTTCTTCGGGAGTGGGTGTACGCAGTTAACCATGCAACTAAAAAGACTGATTTTGCTTCATAAGCCAGTAGCACTTTGAGCATTCATGCTGTTGCCGGTAAAGAATATGCAAGTACTAGCCCATGAAACTTCACTGATAAGGTGCAAGGTATTCCGCTCAATAAAAATGACATGTGGCGCATTCCTACATTGCAGATACATAAATATAACTGATCGTGCCTAAATGATTTTGCAGGCATCTAGGAACCAAGAAGTGCAAGAGAGTCATATAAGTCGGTTACTGAAACGTTTGTCATATATTATGAATCGAGGAAAAGGAACTGGACTAATAACCTGGTAATGAACGAAAAAATTTCACGCATAAGCGGAATTATGTTTAACCTTGTTAATAGAATTCGATTAATTATTATTAAACTCGTTAATATTTTGTGATTCCCGTATTTCAGTCTTATTTCAGTGAAACATCGTGATTAAGAAAGTCAGCAAATATCCTGACCCATGTACAATTCAAAACAAAAATTGCAAAACTAACTTTAAACTTTAAATCCAAGATACTCGTTCGTTAATGCAACATGTACTGTCAGGTCAGTACCATGTAACAGTAAAAACATCCATTTCGATTTATGAATGTAAATTTGCTTAACAGTTCGCACTGTAATTGAAAATATTTCATTGCTTATATAGGAATGGAGGCCTACAGTCGACGACTGCAATACTGGCACCGAGACGCACCATATGTCAGTATTGTGGTATAAGTAGAACAACGCAAACTTCACACAGATCATTCTTCGACACGTCGATGTCAGGCATCAACACTATCAGCCATATGACAGATCCTGCGGAATGCTTTCTGTATTTGAAACTGAACCTTAAACCTTACCGTGCAAGCCCTGTTTAGGTTGCATAGACAGTAATGCATTTAAACGCTGCTTTTGCTGCCAGTCATTGATTAAAGCATTGTAAAGAACACTAGCAGATGGAACGCATGCAGTATGTATTTCAACTGCTTGGCGTCCATGTTAAAAATAACTGCTAGACAAGGACAAACACTTGTCAGTTCAGCCACATTGGCCTTGTCAACCGCGAGGCCTGTTTGAGTGTGACAACGATTTGTGAGAGATGGGCGGAACAACTCAGCGACTGTGTAAACCGTAGTTGTCATTTACTACCGGCAAATGCCAGTCGTCAGGCATTAGTGGCCATCAGTCGACGGTTAACGAGCTAAGCAGTGAACAAAGGCGATGAGCAGCAGAGAACACTGTAGGAAACAACTTTTCAAGATCGCTTTATGTGTAGACGGTAGCCTGTCTCAAATCGCCACGCATGCCCAATTATTAAAAGGCGGGTTGGGTTGCTACGGAAACTGACGCCAAAATTTCAGCAATAAATCCAACAATATGTCAAATAAAACTCATTCAGAGCCAAACTTCAGGGAGTACTGCCCTACCTCCTTACTTTTTCCTGTATAGTGGGGGCGGGGGGGGGCATTTAAGCAGGTCACAACTGTATGATATCTGAGCACATGCAGTGCCAGAGGCATCTCACGCAATTTTGCCCGGCAGAGTCACTTCGCATTAATGATGAACGACGTTTCAAGAGCAACAGAGAAGTTGAGCTGGAATGATTACGACAGGAAAGGTTAGAAATTTCTTGAACGCCAATAAACGGCTACTATTGTAGTAGCAACCTTCAACACCATTACTCTGTTGTGGGTGTTTGCTCGATTTTAAAGGGATAAATTATTACAAGTCGCTAAGTATTTAAGCAAACATTTATTTACATCATTTAAAATTCTTGACTACTATTTTATATCTGCCATCACATTTAACGGCAGTTCACCTATGTTAAACCTAGCTTGTTTGTCTAATGCCCAACGAAATAATAAATCTAATAATGCAGTTAAACCATAACATTGAATTTTCTCAAAGAGTGCTTAGAGAGACGAAGAAATACTTGCAGCACAGATGGAATGTACAAAAGTAGTTCAGTATGAGGCAACTAAAGATGAGCTGAGGTTTACGGAAATTATATTGCTATATCTTGCCATTCCTTGAGATAGCAATTTGCTAAACAATCGCCTTTCTATCACCAAATTTCAGCAAAGAAATTTACATACACTCATTCATAAGGTTTGGCGATTAACGGACTTACAAACATATCCATAGAAAAAAACTTTCTAAATTTCTAACAAAAGGTAACTATAAAAGTTTTTAATTTTTAAAATTTATGCACCCTTGATGTGTACAATCGCTTAACTGGGCAGCAACAAAACCAATAGTTCCTGAGTTCCTGGATTTCAACAACGCATGTCTGGTAAAGAAGTTTAGGTGAAATTTTTGGCCAGCTAGCAAATGTTGCAGTTATCTCGCAGCATCGTCAAATCATGGTAATGAATAAAATATCAAGCGTTTTGTCCATGATGGCTAAAATGTCCTACTAAAAATTAGCAGTGTTTTAAGCAAATTAAAAATAATTATAAATGCATAAACAGCTATTTTTCTCTGATGCCTGAGAGAAAATCATCAAAACCTTAAACGTTATATTTATTGAAGAGAGCTTCCATATCTACATTGCTAAAAACAATGACAGACGTCGACTAAATTCATCTCGTAATCATTAGTGTTAACTGGCCACTCGTTAAAATTAAGTATGAATAGAAAACGTAACGTAAGAATTTCAATAAAGTCGTGTAATTCACTTCCCTCTTTCGATTTGCTACACTGCACCTTCACAGTACTGATAAGTGTTTGCAAAAATGTAGATGTCGACCTGTGACCTTGTATAAGAACCACTAGTAGTCGGATGTGGATAAATGATAGACTGATACATTTTCTGCAAAACACATAACGTAGGCGTGAACGCAGCGAAGGAAACTGCTCAGTACAAAGGGCAGTTATGAACGCTCGTGAGAGATCAACGACAACGACGGGAGTCGCACGGCTCGAGAGCTCCTTTGTGTTACACAGGCGTGGACAAAACGACGTCGAAACAGTGAACGTGACCGTTTTCCCAGCATGAGAAAATGTCGATGGACATCGCTGACCACCGTTCGAGTCCGAGAGTGCATAATGAGGGACACAGGATGGGGTCAGACACAAAAATTGCAGATTGCAGCGATCCCGTAGAAAAGGCAGGTCAAACAAACAGCGCCTACGACCGTAATTGCGACCCTGCGACATCCCAGCCGTTACCGTGAATACGATGAATGTCGTCGTCGTCGCATCACACAACGGCGCGGTTCAATATTGCCAACTTGTCACATTGTCCAATGTCCAATCCGCCTGATTCATCTCATCCATCATTTGATGAGCGGCAACTGGCGAACAGCAACCGACGGCTGTCAATCACCTTCGTTGCGCAGACCGACGGTCCTCAACCCATGGAGGGACAGACAAGAAGTCAAGCCCTCGCTGCACGGATCTTGATCTCATCCCACCAGAGCGGCTCCAATCCATGAGGTAGCCGATGAACGGAAGAAAGGCCTTTCACCCGAATAACATGCAACGAACAGCAGGCGCTTTAGACCTCAGTTTCGACAACAGCGAGTACATCTAACAGCCGAAACAATACGTGTCATAAATCACTCAATGACATTCGGCGTAAAAACTTTCGTGCGAACACAATACGCGGCAATCACAATCTTCATTAACGTAATTTTGGGATGAGAGGCTTACGACGCGGACGACAGTGACAAATGGTACCAAGAATGATGGACGGCGGCGGTGACGATCATGGAGGAGTAGGAAACAGGAAAAGGTTAGCAACTTGTGTAGCAGTCGGCGAACCATGAAACAGTGACAATCATTATACGTCACTGTAATGCTAGGAAGAGATACTTGGCTGGCTGGATAGTCCAGGTTTACAATGGAGAAGTGTTTCGGATATTTCCGGCTTTCAACTGACGAACTGCACAGAGAAACAGTACAACGATATCAAGACAACGGT